GCAAAAAAATATGCATAAAAATCTGAAAAATACTCTGTTTCCTTGGATACGTACCGTTGTATGTAGATTCCCGAAACTTTAATGATTGATATATGTGAACAACTAACCTGACTTTAAATTTTGACTATCACCCAATCTCTAACTGGATGCAAAAAGCTGGCACATAGGGTCTAATATTGACAAAAAATTAACAAAATCGAACATTTTCTCTTCTTGGTAACCATAGCAACAGTGTTGTATTTTTCAACAACCTTTATCAATATATGATATTCAACTTTAGTTCTACGAGATAAATACTATTCAGGGTGATTCAAATAATATTTTTCTTGATTAAAAGGTTAGTAAATTCCTAAAGCAGCAAAAAAATATCACATTAAACAACTAGTACGTTGTTTCCATGGTTACACTGCAAAGCAACAATTAATCTCAATTTTTCTTATGTTGTCGGTGTTGCAAGGTCCTAAGGATGCATATGTGCCAGTCATGAATTTTATTGTTTTTCCTCACGATAGTAGCATTAACCCAATCATAGCAGCAGATTTTGCATGGTGACACTGTGTTACAATGGCAACCATGAAAATTATTTTTAAAATAATATTGCCAATACCTAATTACATGAGGTCAAATATTTTTTATTGTTTTTCTTACTTTGTTGATTGAGTTTGATCATGTAACATCTTTCATTTGTGAATATTGAGCGTTTTTCAGCATTTTTCAGCATCTAAAACGTATTTCAAATGTACCCATGGTTACCATTACTTAGAGATAAATTCTAAATAGTTTCTTTATAGCATAAGTGGAAACAAGGTGTCATGTTTTTAGGAGAATGGTTTGTTTGTTTTTCTTAGTCTTTATTAAGGCTTAATAAAGATTCAAAGTAGCTGAAAATCTCAATTTTTTCAACTTTTCTGGCTGTTACCATGGCAACCAAGACCCATAGCAACGGAATTTTATTTGATATATGTTTCTGGTGTCAAGTTGTAATAATAGGCAAAGTTTTATCAAAATCGGTGACCATGCGTGGCAAAGAAGTTCAAGTGGTTACAGAGAATCGCTATTAAGCGTTGATGGACGTTGACCGCTGACGTACTGTGCTTGACTTTGCTTCTGAAATTGGAACACCATATGCAAAGATGGGGAGTATTTTTGAAATATGAGTGTAATATTAAGATAAGTTGATCCGTGTGAGAGGATACCAAGGCTTTTCTTGAGAGAGAAAAGGAGAAAAAGGCAGAATATTCTGTAAAATTACTTAGTCGAATTGAACATGAGGGTGAGATGCTCCTATAACGCTCCTATAATGTGACATGACATACTTAACTTGACGTTACGTAGAAGTCTCCCCCTGATTTTACAACTATCAATGTTCAGAAAGCTCGTGTGACCTTATTGGTAATTGGAACATGGTGAAAATATCCAGTATTGTTGCATAAAGACTCCATATTATAAATATGCCTATTGTTTGCTTTCATCAAATCACAATAAAATTTTAGAGATAATTAAATTTCACAAACTTTTGGATCAACCGTCGTATTAGAAAAAAGATGGATCTATTAGATTGAACAGGTTATAATTCACCTGAGTCATTTAAATTACTTATTGCTATCTGTGTTTGTTCAGTCATCATGTTTCAAGTGTTGTCTGTAAACTATTGAACATTTTCAGCTTCTTTTCTGGAACCAGTTTCAACTAATTTCTCAGTTGAAGTATACAGACATAATATAGAAGTGATTTTATTGACTTTCTCAATCTATCCTGAATTTAAAAATGTAAATATAAGCATTTGATTGTAAATATTGAACATTTAGCATCTCATAACCAGAGTTGGAAATTACTGACTGCCCGAGGTAGTCTGTTTTTCAGGTAGGCAGGGACAAACTTTAGATTAACCTCGGTGGTCGAGGTCATTTAAACAGCTAGTTCCTGTTTTCCATTTTTTTTTTCAGGGTATAGTAAGTCTATAGAAAATAAGTAAAATATAGTATATCAAAGGAACACTTCTAGTTAAAAATTTGAGTTGACCTTAGGACCAATATTGGTTTCAGTCTTTAGAAAAAGCTTATCGATGTATGTTCCGATCACTGACTTTAGGCCACATGTGTGTAGTTTCTTGTTTCTCATGTATTGCTTTAGTTCTACGTTAATGGTAATCTAACAACCAAGCTTTATGACAAATGAGATGGCTTTAACTTTTCAATTGTCAACTTCCCTTACTTATTTAGCAATATACCTTCATCACCTGCATACAGGGTTTATATCTCTCAGTTGATTTGATACGAAAGAGCATCCTCTATGTTTGAAATTTTTTTAAAACGAGGTAAGTTATTGACAAATAAGTTGCTGAAACAAGAATATCAGCAGTCTTGTTTAAAGTTATCATTTTGTAAATTCTATGGTCGATACAATGACTTTGTCAGCAAATACAATTTATCATTAAGTCAAATGCTGAGTGACGTTTTTCATACTTATTGTTAGGCCATTATTTACACACTGAATTATCGATGGATTTTTCCATTGTTTCCCAGTTGTGACAAGGAGCACATGGCGTGTGTGACCGGTCTGCAGGGGATGCTTACTCCTCCATGGCACCTGATCCCACCTCTGATGTTTTGGAGGTCCGTGTTTGCTCTGCTCCTATTTTGTATTTTTTGATGGGCTTTTGAGCTTGAATACTGTTTGTTATCTCGATATATTTCATTCTAGTCAACTGTGTGTTCATATGATCCTACCTCAGTATTTACAGAATTATACATCCTTTGTATGAGGGTCATTCTTGATGTCTGACTGAGTAATGGCAATGGGACATAAAACCTTAACTGACCTTACCACATTCTTTTCTAATCTGAAAACCCTCATGCATTTTTAGCATAACATATCGCCAATGCACACATTTTTCCCAAGGAATGAACTGCATCTACTCTGCATAGAACAGTATCTCTCCCACTGGCACAACAGTACTATTACATGTCATTATGTTCTTGAAAGGAAAACACAGCAGTTATTGCTCAGCAAGATTCTTTTTCCTGACACCTGCAGTATCGAGTAACACAAAGTGAATGATTAGTGTTCTCGAACAAAGTGTGCTTACAATGAGGTATAGTTCTGGTTGATTGCATTTAGTTAAAGAGAATTTATGATCTGCATTTCTGTAGATGTCTTTTATATCAACACCAAACATGCATTTAAGGAAGAAAATATAAGTAAAATGCAAAAGCCTGTAAAAAAAAATCAAAGTGCAAGGACAAGTGCACTTAAGGAATGCTTAATGGGCCCTTTTTCAGTGCTGTATTACTTTAGAATATATTACCAAATTGTTCTCTTTTAGTAATAGTTAAACACAAGTGGACATTTCTAATTAAAATCACGCTAAAACATCAATCAGCATGGATTTGAAACAAATGAAGTTTTTTAAATGCCTATAGATCCGGAAAGTCATATCAAACCCATTTTGAGTTTCAATCGTTTATTTAAATCAAGGGGAGGAGGCATTTAAATCTTAAATCAGACACTTGAACAATCTGATGGTGGATCATTGACAGGCACATTTGCCGAATGATACTTCTTGCGCTATTTTACCCGAGAAAAAAATTGAATGAAGTTGTATAGATGCCTGTATCCATAGTGATCAAACTATGAAATTGGTATGCTTGCATTTGAAATAATGCAATAAGTATTAACATTAGTTCCTTTATATTTTAAAATGAAAAAAGGTGTATTTGGGTGGCTTTCAATACTGGTACCATTGTCTTGCTTGAATGTTAAAAATGTTTGACACTTTTATTTATGATGACATTTTAACGACACTAAACTCTCTTAACCCTTCTGTGTTCCTAACCCTCCCGTTTTCCTAAAACCAAATACATGTACATACAAACTTCTCTATGCGGCATGACTTTGATATAATGATACAAAACGTGGCTATGCTTTACAGTGAGCATCTTTGAGGAATGTTTACCTGGGTAGAACTCACGTGACTACCGGTATTTTAAATAATTTATTCCATGGGTGGGTTCAACATAGCTAGATCATACAGGTAAATCTAAGCTCTTACTTGCTATAGGAAAAACATTGAACTTTTCATACATTTTTTTAATATTTTAAGTACAAGCCTAATCTTGTACAAATTTCCTACTTTCACACAAGTTTTATAAATGTATAATGCATTTTTTGTCAATCACACAAGTTTGTACAATGTTAGGCTGACAATAAACAAAAGCTTTGAAATGAATGACTGTCCTCAATTTACTATAGAAAATCATGAATGTTGGCTGACCCCTACCACATTGTATGGCTTTGCTCTTTGTATATTCATGAATTTCAGCAATAAAATTTGTTGAATTTAGGGTTTAGATATCAATTAATGATCTGAGATGGAAAATTAAGCTTAATTTGATTCTTCATTATTTCACATTTTACCGGGGCCCATAAGTGCACTCGTTCTTTAGTGTTTATACAGGTAAAAAGTTTGAAAAAATAAAAATGTGCCAACAAATGGATTCGAACCAGGACACTAAAAATGTTCATGGTGAGAGTCTGCGGTCTACCATTCTGGGCTATGCTGACTATGAGGACATTTGTAATAAATATAAACCAGTAAGATAGAAATAGGTTTTCACGTTTTTTGTAGTTTTTTTTTTTTATATAAATCTAAAGCAGGGGTACGTGCCCCTAAAAAAACCTTGTTTTAAATAATTGCTTAAATCAAAATCTATCAAAATTTCATAATTTAATTTAGGGGCAGGCAAAGGGTGATTATATTGCATCTATCGGGTATAAATTTTCTTATCAGAAAATTGTAGAGATATGCAAGGTTAATTAATGACAACATTTATTTTTCATTTTTGCCTAATACTTTTATGATTTTCACTAATAAATTGATGATTGAAAAAAGCCTTTAATATGACTGCTGATTTTATCTCCATCTGTTAATTTCTAACACCTTTTCTCGTGATTATAGGAGATAGAGAACAGATTATGATTTCTAACATTTACTGTTACAGATCATTTCCTTGAGATAGGTGGAACCAACAGTCAAATCCAGACACCTTTAAGAAAAGTAAAAATCTGACTCGGGTAAAAAAAAAATCATTTACAGTTTTATCAATTAGTAATTTTTACCTTAATTAACTGGACAAATCTCATTTGACGATATACAGGTCAAGAATGAAGAGTTTAAAGCCTAGTAGGGATTTTGGTCAATCATAACAGGTAATCTGCAGCCCCTATTGGGAATTTTACACTCATATGGAGACGCCACCACTTGCCAGTGGAAAGCTGCAAATTCTGTCCTATACTCTGCACTCACAGCCATTGAGCAGTGAGGGTCCTTTTTCCTGCCAGCACCTACTGCGACATGGGACCTCAGTTTATAAGGTCTCATCCGAAGGACTGGTGTCCACATCCCACAGTGGGATTCAAACCTGTGATGTAAGGATCAATTCCTTACTTCGTGACTCTAGAGCAGACGCTTTAACCATGGCGCCATGCTTGTGACTAGCTCAGTTTTAAAGAAATCATTCAAGATATTTTTTATCAAACTTAATATGCTGTAAGATTAGTAAGACCTATTCAACTATTTCAAAAATTTTTGACCTTTCCTGTGACCTTGACCTCACTTTTCTTTAATTTGCATCTTGCATGGTTTTAAACCATTTAAGATATTGTTATCTAAGGCTATGCATCTATACATAATTTGGTGAGAACTTATCATCTATTCATTTTTTTAAAAATTTTTATTTCAATTTTAAAGAAACTTTTCAAGATATTCTCATCAAACTTCATATACTAACACAAAATTTCATGTTGCATTACTATACACTCGGCGGGGCATTCATGGCCTATGGACATATTTCTAGTGTAATTTGCTATTTCTGTTGTTTACTTTCGGTCAGTAAGTGCCCCCAAAGGGCAAGCCCCAGTCCTATTTTCTTTTCCAGGGTTGCAACAGCGCCCCCTAGAAAAACAAGTTGCACCATCCAATCAAATCTTGTTTTGTGCTGCTTTATGCCAATGAAATTAAGGCTGGACATCATATGTATTATATTCTGACCAATGGGGTTGCCGTATTTTCAAATAATTAGGATAGACTTACCACTTCAGCATTCCTTTCATCACTGAAGTGATATGCATGCTCAAAAATTGACTAAGTTTCATTTTTGTGTCAACTGCAGAGCAGAACGACACTTAGAGATCACTTTACCTGGTGTCTGTCTGTCCGTCTGTCACACCTTATATCTCCAAAATTTTTAGAGGCAGGGTTTTGATAATTAGCATTTATATATGTTTTTGAGCTCATGATACTATACTTTGAAACTGTATGAAATTCAGTTACCACAAACTTATTTAAATACTATGAAAATACATTGGGATCAGTATTCTACAATGAATCGTGTTGACTGACAAAGTGACAAAGTAAAGACAGTCTGAAATCTCTTTCCTCCGAGGATTGTTGGAAGCACCTGCATGTGTATTAATAAAATGATAAATAGTTATTCATCATAATTTCAATTTAATTATTCATTTGAGGACTGGGGAACTATATTTTTTGATTGCCAGATTCTATCCCAGTCTTTTACTTTTGGATCCTTTTTTTTCCTTGCAGGCAAATGCATGAACCTCCATGCTAATATTAAATTAATAGCTGACCACTCTTAGATTTATTTACCTCTTTAATGAAGATACCTAGCAGGCGACATATACATTCCTTGAAGCACTCTAGTTCCTATTTTATTTTCACTAATATAATGATTATTGAAAAAAGACTAAGGTGCTCTATAGTGATCAGTCTATTCATTCATCTGTCTGTCAAATACACATATCCCTTGTTCAGAATACAGGTGACTCTAAATACTTCAAACTTTATATTTATGCCCCGCCATGAATATGGCCGGGGCATATAGTGTTTGTCATGTCCGTCTTCCGTCCTTCCGTCCTTCCGTCCTTCTGTCCTTCCGTCTGTCCTTCCGTCACACTTTGCGTTTAGCTCTGTTCAAAGCTCAGTTTCAAAGAAACTATCCAAGATATTTTTATCAAACTTCATATGCTGATAGATATTGATGAGGGCTATGCAACTGCATCAACATTTTTTGACCTTGACCTTTCCTTTGACCTTGACCTCACTTTTCTTAAATTAGTGTTTAGCTCAGTTTTAAAGATACCATTCAAGATAGTGTAATGAAACTTCATATGTTGATACCTACTGACGTAAGCTATTCAACTGCATCAACATTTTTTGACCTTGACCTTTCTTTTGACCTTGACCTCACTTTCCTTAAATTAGTGTTTAGCTCAGTTTTAAAGATACCATTCAAGAAAGTGTAATCAAACTTCATATGTTGATACATACTGATGTAAGCTATTCAACTGCATCAACCTTTTTGACCTTGACCTTTCTTTTGACCTTGACCTCACTTTTCTTAAATTAGTGTTTAGCTCAGTTTTAAAGATACCATTCAAGAAAGTGTAATCAAACTTCATATGTTGATACATACTGATGTAAGCTATTCAACTGCATCAACATTTTTTGACCTTGACCTTACTTTTGACCTTGACCTCACTTTTCTTAAATTGGTGTTTAGCTCAGTTTTAAAGATACCATTCAAGATAGTGTAATCAAACTTCATATGTTGATACATACTGATGTATGCTATTCAACTGCATCAACATTTTTTTGACCTTGACCTTTCTTTTGACCTTGACCTCACTTTCCTTAAATTAGTGTTAAGCTCAGTTTTAATGAAACCATTCAAGATATTTTTAACAAACTTCATATCCTGATACATACTGATGTAACCTTTTCAACTGCATCAACATTTTTTGACCTTGACCTTTCCTCTGACCTTGACCTCACTTTTCTTAAATTAGTGTCAAACTTCATATGCTGATACATACCGATAAGAGCTATTCAAGTGCATCAATATATTTTGACCTTGACCTTTTCTTTGACCTTGACCTCACTTTTCTTAAATTAGTGTTTAGCTCATTTTTAAAGAAACCATTCATAATATTTTCATCAAACTTCATATGCTTATACATACTGATGTAACCTTTTCAACTGCATCAACATTTTTTGAGCTTGACCTTTCCTCTGACCTTGACCTCACTTTTCTTAAATTAGTGTCAAACTTCATATGCTGATACATACCGATGAGAGCTATTCAACTGCATCAATGTTTTTTGACCTTTACCTTTCCTTTGACCTTGACCTCACTTTTCTCAATTTGTGTTAAAATGTTGCATTACTAATATACCCTCGGCGGGGCATTCATGTCCTATGGACATATTTCTAGTTTTTAATAAGGTACATGTAGCTGCTTTGGAACATCTGAAAGGTCTATTACATTATCGCTAGTTTTACTAGTTTTCTTCATGTAAGTTGAATATATTTCAAACTTTTAAATTTTTATTTTTGCCAGGTAAGAAAGAAATTCAGGAGTTCTTAAATTGCCCTCAGAGTTCTTGGATTGCATCAAACTGCTAAAAGACCTCAACAAAAACAGTGTCTTGAAAAAAAAATGAAAATATTCAGTGAAAAAAAAATTATGAGAGAAAAAGCCACTAAAAATCTTCAAGCCTTTGAGCTGAAATCTGGAAGTCAATCTGTGGACTTTACTGGTATGTCTTACTAATTAAGTCATCATTTGTGTATAATAAATACACTAAACTGTAAACACTTGTTAAAATGTATATAATTTTTAGATATAATTTGTAGCTCACAGACATCAATAGTTTCATGTAATTTAAGTGATAATGAAAATTTCCTGTTGTCTGGCTAGATTAGAAACTATATATTATTGTCCAATTTTGGATATTGTGAAATAATTCATTTAGTAAAATTGGGTATGCATACATGTGTGTACACTTACATGTAAATTAATTGTTATAGCAAATTTAATCTATCATTAAGTTGAATGTTGACTAATGTTTTTCATCAAAATTGTTTACACTGAATTGTTTGTGGATTTTTCCATTTGCCCAATCATGTCAAGGAGCACATGGCAGAAAATGCTTTCTCCTCCATAGCACTTGGTGTTTTTAGAGGTCTGTGTTTGCTCTGCTCCAATTTTGTATTGTTTCAATGGACTTTAAAGCTTGATCACTTTTGGTAATCTTCATATTTTATATACTATTAGAGTACTTGAAGAGAACTGTAAAGATTTAACATACAGTATAATGCATGTATATTGCACTTTAAGTAGAGTGTATGTGGTTTAGAAATGTAATTCATCTCATAGTGCATTGAATTTGTTGAAAATTAGAAACTTTATTGAAATTGTTTTAGAATAATGTTAGATTGCAGATTTTTTAAAATCATGCAAGTAAGATATTGCTAAATATTCTTAAGCTTTTCTGGACAGTCTAGATGAGTTCTTGCTATATGCCTAGCATTGTCATCCCAGTTAAAATTTAAGGAGCAAGGTTTATTCCTAAGCTCTAACTGGACAAACTTGCATGGATTAAAGCACATTAACAGATTTACTTCAGATGCTTGACCTGATCAACATTTTCTTCATGTGTTTTTTGTTTTTGTTTGTTTGTTGTTTAACATCCCTCTCAAGAATTTTTCATCCATATGGAGATGCCACTACTTACTGGTGGAGAGCTGCAAAATTTGACCTATACTTAGCACTCAGGGTCATTGAGCAATAAGGGATCTTTTTTGTGCCCACATCAACTGCGAGGTGGGACCTCGGTTTATACGGTCGAATCTGAAGGACTGGTCCCCACATCCCCAGTGGATCTGAACCTGAGACTTAAGGATTAAATCCTTACTTGCGACTCTAGATTACACACTCTAGCCTTTGCGCCACATGGGGGACTCCACAAGAGTAAGTGTTTTGAGCAGTCCTATTCTCATGTAATTATAAACTGTATGTTGAGCAAACCTGCAAAGATGATGTATGTTAATGTTTCAGGGTACCAATCCTTGATTTGACTTAGATTTTCTGGATTAATGACCAGTTTTTTAGAGAAGGTTCATTCAAAGTAACAATATACTCTTTGGTGATCAGTAAACATAGATGATGCATCCTGCTTCTGATGCTGGATGTAACATACATTTTCAGGGTTATT